TCCCTTAACCCTCCCCCCGCCGGCAGGGCAGAGGGCACCTCACCCTCCTTGGACTGACACCTGGGCCACCTCTCAGGGTTCATGGCTGTGGAATTGTAAATAGCAAGCATCAAGTTTACCAGCCCTTAGTGCCTCCCTGGCAGGCAAGTGGAGGGGGCCTTCCTACTGTGGTGCATGGGGAGGTTGGCTGGGGCCGCCTCCCCGGCCCACCCTGCATTGTGTGTTCTTCTTCCATTTTCCCCTCCTTGCCTTTCCCTTCTTGTTCCTCTGCCTCTTGCCTGTGGCACTCAGGGTCAAACAGACTATTGACTTTACAGTGTGAATGTGCCTTTTAACTAGACCTGGAAAGACATTGAGCTGAACCCTCATCGATTGCTCTCGAGAATTCATGCCTGATGCCTCTGCCTTCCCCTCCACTTTTGAGCGGGTGCTCTGGTGAGCACCAATCCCTCAGGATGCCTTCCCCGAACCACCTCTCCAGAGGTGAAATCTCCACCTGGGACGAGATGGCAGCAGGTCCTGTCTATCACTGGGTGCCCTCCCCAGGCCCAGGCTTGCCTTGGCTCATCAGACCCCACTGGCTCACCCAGCGCTGGCCCTTGGGCGCCAGCCCTTAGTGTGGAGGTTGGGCTGGTGCCTGGTCCCAATCTTACCTGTGCCTTTATCACTTTAGGCATCTCAGATGCTAACTTCGTTCTTTTCCCAGCAGGCTTTGTATTGATTACAAATTATCTCCCAAGGCAGAAGCAGCTGGGCTATGCAAAGAGTATTTCTGTCAGCTGTACTTGCTCCTTCATAATGTTATTAAACTAGGAGTGAGTACATTGAGAGGGAGTCTGGAGATACATAAAGAACAAAGACTCCTACTTTCTATGCTCCTTTCTATGCCTAGGCCCTGACTTTTCCAAAGTGCTTTAAAAGAAAAGAGACAGATGTCCTAGGTGGTAATGTCTTTGTGATTTTACTCTTAAATTGACCTTCTGTTTTGGGGAGGGGGTTGGTTTTTTGTTTTTTTTTTTTCCTGTTACATTTTCCTTCCTATTCAATGGTCAAGTGTGTGGTTCATTTTCCGAACCAGAGGAAATACAGCTTCCCTGCCCCCTCCCCTCTGCTGACCTTCCGGTGCTCTCCTGGCGCCCCTGAACCCACAGCTCACATCCTCTTTCCATCGGGAAGTTTCAGGACTGTGGATACAGGAGACATTGCCTTCACCGGAGAGTTGGACCATAAAGCTGTGCTGTGCCTTCCTCTGCTCCTGTCCATCACCTCTTTTTAAAGTGGCCTTTGGAAAGATCAGAGGGCAGGCATGGCAGCAGAGGGTAACGGAAAAGCTGGTGCTGGGTCTCAGGAAGGCCAGGGGCTATGCTGGCATCCCTGTGGGGTGTGCGGTGCCCTGCACAGCCAGACAGCAGCCATACTGAAGAGGTTCCAATGGAGCTTCCATATTAAGGTAATTAAGAAGCAAGCCTGGCCATTCAGATCTGAAAGGAAAAGTATCTATGCAAA